CTATGATTCTATGATTCTATGATTTAAAGCAAAACTGAGATTATAATTTTAATGGGTATTGAAAATACATGAAATAGATAATTTTTATAGGCTTCAAAGGTGTATTGTCATGAAGGGTTTTCTTAATCTCTATTTCTTATACGTATTGATTTACCAGAGGACTTTTTTGACTAATATAGAATATATTTTATAATAAATAGAAAAATAAATCAATTTTTATAATGTGGCTAATGTTTTTACAAAAGCTAATTAAACATAAACATGTCTATAAAATATGGAGATGTAGCATCATAGAGGATCTATAAAGTTTTCAGTATCTCATCTAGAGAACCTGCCTTTTTTTTAGTGCCTCTTAGTATGGCTTATGCCTTGTTATGTCCTGATACTATGAACATAGGAAGAGATTCTTATTAAATAACACTTTCTTGCTAGGATGATGGAACTCTCAGATTATTTACAAGACAGGAAGTACAGAAAATCATATAAAATGACATGCATATAGAAACCTTAGAACTGTTTGAGTCTTGAAAAGAGTAGAATACTGGAAAGAATTAATTTGCCATCATGATAAGGAAAACTTATTTTAATTTCATTTTTTTCTTAATATTTGAACTGCACAAAGTATACAATGCACTGAGGTTTCTGAAGATCAAAATGTGATCCTTTCTGTGTAATAATTCCTTTAGCTATAAAACACAGCCCCACAAGTAATGTCCTAGAAAAGATACAGAGGTTACAAGGTGGCTGTAGTGTTTTGCAATTACTAGCCAGCTGCATTTGTTGTTCAGGTAAATGCTGTACTTTTTTTTTTTTTAAATTCTGTTCTCTAAAGAGAGTTCTTTAAAATAATGTAGGCTGTAGCAAATGCAGACCTTAATCCACAAGGATTTTCGTCTTCCACATGAAATATATTGAAGCCATAATCTTTTCTATGTTTTGATGTCTCAGCAACTAAAATATGTCTTAAGCAGTGTAAAAGTTTGGAGATAGAGGTTTTATTGCTAACTTTGATGTTTCTCAGGCCTCTTTTTGAAACAGTTCAATGGGTAACTTGGCCATCTTACTAACTTCAGATGCAATGCAAAGCATTTGAAAGGAAGGATTTTTCTCCCACTAGTCATTTTTCAAAAGTTCCTAGGGAGTTTAGGGTTTCTAGTAAAATTCCTCTCCCTCTCTGTCCAGCCACATCTTTCTGGATATAAGTAGAAACTGTGGGAACTACTGCAAATGGAGCAGAGGGATGTCTCTCAAAGTTTCAGCACTATAATCTAAAATGATCATCCTCTAGTTGCAAATGGATCTAAAGTTTATAATTATTAAACATAATTTTATTTATTTTTTACTAAAACCCCAAATCCAGTTTTCAAGTTGTGATTAATCCTCAGAGTTCCACACACACAGTAATTAAAAAGAAACTTTATATCCATGTAATACACAGACAGGGGTGGTTTTCTGCTTTGTTGGGGCTACTTATAAGCCTTAACAAGGCTACTTACTTGTGGCCTTAACAAGAGTAAAAATTTTATTTAACAACTTTCCAAGAATACTGCAGAAATAAAGTATTGATTTAAAGACATTTGACCACACGGGTCTTTGCTCTTGAGGGGAAGCTCTCAACTCCACTGAGATGATGAAGGTTATGACCAGGTTTATGTGTTTGCCAGGACCAGTTTTTTCTTAAGTTTCGAGAAATAAAAAGTGGTTTATAGCACTGGAAGTGGATACAGGTAAATGTCAATAAAGAGGAAATATGAGAATAAGCTGCCGTGGACCTAACTGTAACAGGAGCAATACCATGTTACACAATTTTATGTAACTCTTGTCTGTATTGTCTAATAAAAACTATACTCAAAGCCTTAGTTTACTTTTATAAGCTGTGCATGTGTATAAAACACAATGTACTTTTATTCATGTGCCAAAGATCTACAGACAAATTATTTACTATCAGCATAAGTCTCTTAATAATTTAAGCCTTTGATCTTCTATAGTATTTTCTGTTGCACACACGCACACTATCTGTGTATGCCTCGCTGGCTTTGCAGTTGTCTGGGAATTTCTGTTCCTGCAACTTGTTTTCAACACAAAAATCTATTTCTTCATAGAAATAGTTACTTCTTTACTAGTCAGTGTAATCTATTCCTATAGTTATAGTCTGATTGAAATAATTATTTAGTATATTTAAGAGAGAATGTGTCATTCCTCTGTTCTCTTGCTTGGGTTGTTGGAAATTGGTGTGGAAATAGGGAGCATTATTACAATAAAAGATTTTATGTCATTAAGATTTACCAATTTAATCAGGCATATACACAGTCTATTTTATCCATGTTATTGGATCTCTTGCCCATAATCTCTTATTTTTCACTAAGCAATGTGGGAGGACTGAGGAGTTTCAGATCTGTATGCATCTTTGATAGCCTGAAAAAGAAGGACATGTACACTAGAACTACCAACAGAACCTCAGTGAAGTTTTTTCCCCTTAGCTTTCAGCCTGTATGTCTCTTGCCATGGCTTCCTACATAAACTAAGGCTTTCTGGTAGAATACTTCAGGTACTAAGTAAATAAGCTTAAGACAATTTGAAAAAGACCCAGTAAAGATCTTGGAACCATTCAATATGGAGGTACATTTCAAAGGTATTTGACATTTTGTATGCTAACTATGTTGATTTCATTGATCACTGTCATTGAAGGTGAAATGTTGTTATAATTTTATTTATTCTTTACTAGAGTTTTTTTTTCTTTACTGCAGGTTTAAGATTTTTAAGAGCCCTTAGACTGATACAGTTTTCAGAAATTTTGCAGTTTCTGAATATCCTTAAAACAAGGTAAGACCTTTTCTTACATACTGAGTTAGCTACATTGGTGATTGAACATACGTGGCTTAGGTTTGTGGTCCTAGTAGTATGTTATTTTATTTTCTGCAAAAAGCCAATTGTTATCCATTCTTTAAGCCTTTTTCTGCTGATGGATGATTTATCAGTGTCATCATCTTTTTCCATGTGATCAGTAGAAGATCTTACTTGATGTGTTATTGCATTGGAAAGATCTGGGCAAGACTGAGTGCAAAATGAGTTACAGAACTCTGCACTTACTAAATATTCCTTCTTTCTACATAATCAGTCCATATTCCACTGCCTTGGAAAAACAGTTCATTCAACAGAATACAGCTAAAAAAAGTATTTTGAGAAATAATCATTGTGTCTCTCTTTCAGTTTTTTTTGAACTGAGCATCCTTCTTCACATCAAAAACATATTAAAAATAATTTTACATTCAGCTATCTTTATATTGTGTTCATTGTCATTAGCATTTCTCTCAAAGGATATTTTAAATATTCCAAGTAACCTTCTGGCTTCCACTGATTCTTCAGGCTATTAATTCATGAAAGTTGTGCAGATGAAGCACAACTTTGAACAAAAGATAATTTTGAAGGGAAAAAAAAGAATTTTCCTATGCCTCGCAGATGAAGACACATTGGCTTTAATCGTTCCCTAAAATACCCCAGCTCAAGTATTGAACCCAGCTTCCAATAATTACTGTAAACTCAGTTCCATTCTGAAGTCGTGTGCTTTCTCCACCAGTTGATGATGCATGTGTGAAGGATATATATGCAAGTAACTCAGTTTACTTGCTATGCTAATTAGTAGTGATGGGGAAATAGGTCCTTGAGATTTATTCACACTCATAGTAAACTGCTGTTTCTTCAACCCTGAACCTTCAAACTATTCTCTTTACTGTAAAACTCTCACACTATCTGTCTTCAGCTGTGTGACTGTAAGGAATCCAGTTCTTGGCAAATAAAGAAATCAATGAATGTGCAGTGAAGATGCAGTCCAGCATCTTAATTTGTGCAGGAGCTCAGAATATGCAGTGAGTTTGCATTTAACACACATAACAACCTAACTGTAAGAAATGGCAGTCGATGGAAAAGCCCCATAAACTCAAAGCCCTTTCAGAAGTGGTGGATTTGTAAACTTTCAGATCCATAAATGAAAGGATACTGCATTAATCACATTCAGTATATTTAGAGCTGGCTTATTCAAGATTGACCTGTTCATTTAAACAACATTTCTCTATGCAAAATTTACCCTTAGATTAGACATAATCTCTGTGATTACTTATATGAATGTCCAAATATCTGTAAAACCCAAATGTTGATTATTAGAACATCTGTAAAGCAAAGCTTCCTTATATGACTGTTTTCGTCTAGAGGCATTTCAGTGTGCTTGGCATTAATAGCAAGTAACTACTGACAAGGTGAGAAACTGGTAGGGTATAAAGGGCACTGCTGTATTTTTACAATCTGGTGCAATTAGAGAAGAAATTCTGTCCTACTTTTCTTCTTTCCTTCCATAAAGAAAAAGGTTTACTCTAACCTATGAATTAAAATTGCTCCTGGAATTAGTGACTGAGATACAAGCGTTAAAGGAGCATATATTATTTACACAATGGGCAGAAGGGCTATTCCAAACACTGGAATCCAAAGAAAGAAGCTTAACAATGCAAAAGTAGAGGCAGTGAGAAGACTAGCAAAGTAGTGTGGGAGTATTAGTTAATTATTAGAATATCTGAAAAGTTATTAATTACATATGAAAAGAATGAGTAAGGCAAAGCAAAATTTTACTGCAGCATATTAAAAGACTGTACTCTACCAAGGATCTATTTGTTTCCCTAATTTGAAATAAAACATATTTTACTCTATTTTTTTGTTCCTGTGTTTTATTCAATAGAATGAGTTGTATGGTGTTCAGTTGCAAATTTCTCTCCTTCAGTTCACTGTTTTCTAATATTTTTCAACAAAACTACAGAGGCTTAGGCAGGGCTCACAGTAAGGGATTTTGCACAGATGTTGGAAAGAGCTTAAAGAGCAGGAAAATGTTTGTGACTAATCCTTCATCTATATTTAGACCCTGGTAGAAACACAGGAGTACTTCATAGAGGAGAGACAAGGTACAATATTTAATAAATCTGCAAAAATAAAATGTACCAAACAGTTAATGTAAATAGTTATTTTTAATGACTGCTGTCATCTACTTGTATTACACTAATATATGTGGAGAACTGACACATTATTGTATCAGGATCCCTTCGTGTTCTAAGTTTAGGTGAAGGATGATATTTAGCCTTTCAAAATGGGGCTTTGCATGAGCATTATTTCGGTTGTTTTGTTTAATCTCGGAACTTGTTGTGTAGGGTCCTATGCTATAGCTGAGTGTTGTCAGCAACAAAATATGAACCTCAATCAACCATAGCTTAAGAAAGAGAGAAATAGGAAATATGTGTTTATATAGGTGAATACTAATTAGTTGTAGAACTGCTGGTTTATTTTTCTTATTTTTGAGTATTTTGATATTTCTTTCCTAGTACCTACAGTTGCCCATTTCACTAACTGTAACTCTTAAAAATATTTTTAATGGAGCTGGTCTGATTAATTTTCCAAGTTGATCTCTCAACTTTGTTTAGAAAATAATACATTTTTGTTGTCCTCCAAATAGTTATAAGTATTAATTCTACTGCAAAACTACCACTAGTAACACTGATAGTGAATTTTTCCAAATTTTTAATCTTTTGGTATGTATTGCTTTAGGAAAAATTGTGATTTTTCAGAGGCATTATTCTTTCTTAGTAATGTTTTCAAAAACAAAGGACAGCTGTTTCCAATACAATTTCATTAATGGGTAAGATTATTTAGACATAGTAATACATGTACTTCTGTTCCTTGTGTGTTTGTTAATATCCTTCTTAGCTTTTGAAATCATAGTGATTTTTGTAAGGAGAGAGAGAGTAAGCTTTTAAGTATGGTATTTT